GCGCGCCCAGGCCCTCTCCAGTATTTTTAATGAATTAGGTAGGTTTAAAAATCTAACACTGCCAGGTATGGTGGTGCACACCTGTAATCCCAAAACTCTGGAAAGCTGAGGCAAGAGGACAGCAAGTTCAAGGCCAGTCGGGGCAATTTAGTGAAATTCAGTCTTAAATCAAAAAATTAAAATTAGGGGGCCAGCGAGATAGTTCGTCAGACTAAGTACCTGCCTAGGCAAGCTTAGGGAGATGCAGGGACCAGGATCCGGTCCCCAGCACCCCATGATGTGTCAGCCCTGCCCCCAGGGCACACTGAGACTGCCACAGAGTATGGGTGGGCGTGGTGGTGCACACGTGGAATCCCAATCCCGGCACTGGGGAGGCTGAAAACAGGAGGATCATTGTGAGTCTGAGCTGCATAGTGAGACCCTGTAACCATCAAATATATTAAAAAAAAAATTAAAATTAGGCTGGAGATGTAGCTCAATATAAAGTTGTTGTCTCCAATCCCCATCCTTCCTACCCCCTACAAATCCAAATCATTTCAGAAAGGTTCTTATTGCTAAATGGTCTTTTGTAATGTTTTTAATAACATATTCAAATTCAAATATTTACCCTTTAAATTTTATCTAGTTAATTTTTCTTAAATAATTATAACACATCTTATCTTATCTTTATTCTCAGCCGTCAAATAAAGGAACACTCAGTAGAGAGATTTATGTTTCAAATTAAGAAGCTTAGGGAAAAGAACCAAAAGTATCACGAAAGGGTGAGTATAAAATTTAAAGCCTTTAAATAACTATTAAGCATTTACATATATGCTTCAGAAATTGAATTACAATGAGTCATGCCCTAGGAAATTATCTTCAAAGCTTGTAATCAACCGACTTATAATTCATTTGTGTCCTTTGTGTATGGGAGGCCCGAGTGCTCTAGTGCTCCCATTATACTGATCACAGTGTCAGTGGAAGTCAGCTTGCTGTGTCATTTAGCTCCCAAAGACAATAGTTTAAAATTTAACATTTTGAAACCACTTTTACCACTTGACTTATTTAGTCAAACTATAAAAACACTAGTTCTGTGTTTCTAACCTGTGAGTGTTTCTTCTAAGTTTTCGGAGAGCATGCAGATGTAAGTACCTCTTAAAAACTACAATCTCTGTTGTTAGTGACTGAATATTTAAAATGATATATTGTTTTTTTAAAAAAATAGATTAAAATGAATATCAAAGGGGTGCTGTGTTTGTCTATCAGGACTAAAGATCAACAGAAACAAAGTTTAAAAATAATAAATGATAATTAACACAATTTATTCCTTACAGCATCTCATGAATGAGGAAACATTTTTTATCAGTGTTTACACATTTATTTTATGGGCCTGAAACTTCCACAGGTAACTTTTATTTGGCTTCTGTTTATAAAGATTGTATCTTCAAATTTTAATGGAGTCTTGTGTCTACAGCCTGAGTATACAACTTACTAATGAGGTCTTTTTTGGCTGCAGTTAGTGTAAGCTTCAGGTTTCCTCTTGAGAAATGGAGATTCCTCTTCCAGAGGGCTAAATTTTTCCTTCATCAGCAAGTATTTTCTCTGGTGAACAAGCCCTGGTAACGTAGGTGGTGGTATAATTGGGGATCTGATACGGTCACAATTTTCAAGGGTCGGTATTCATCACAAGGACTAAAGCAGCAACATGTCTGTGGATAAGAGTGAGGGAGGCCAGCCTAGGAGCTTAGAGGCGGGTTTCATGTGGTAAGTGACCCAGAGCATGAGAGAGGATGCAGATCCTACGGCTGTGAGCGCCAGGACTCTAGGGCCAGCTGGGGCTGTGGGAAGTACAGAGACAAGGACCAAGGCATCACACCCCAGTGTCCCATCGTTTGGAGTAAAAAGCAGTTGGATTTCTTATTTCGTAGAAGTTAGGTCAAGAAGGAGACAAAGTCTGCAAGCCACTGGGCCCAGCAGTGGAATATGGAGAGAGGGAGACTAGTTCTAACTGTGTATATCTGAACACCATTTCTTTGTCTTCATGTTGCTGATGCCCTAATCAAAGACACCCTCATCTTCATCTCTAACCCAAGCTTCCCCTCTAGTACATTTTTCACCATGCAACCAAAATTTCCCTTTGAGTACTGTAAGCATTTCCATGCTTAACACCTTTCAGTGACTTCCTATGGCCCAGAAAATAAAGTCTGTGACCTTACTAAAGTCTTCAGGGCCCTGAAAAATCTAGTTCATACTCACCTGTCTCAGCTTGTCTGGAGCTGATCCATGCTCTGTTTACTGTGGGTTCTTTTCAGCCTTAGGAAAATGAGTCTCTTTCCTGTTATGCCTTTAGTGAGTGCAGTGACTTGGGTCTAGATGTCCACAAAGCCTCGAGCTCCCACAGATGGGGTTCTTCTGAGGGGTTTGGACCTAGGGTGTGTGATGACGAAATGGGTTTATCACAGTTCTGGGTGTAGATGGTGGAAGCCTCACGCTGGATGTAGGTGGTGCCAGTCAACAGGCGATAGCCTGAATGAGATGTAAAAAGGAGAGCAGGAAGGCAAGCTTGTTGCTGTTGCTGTTGCTTGCTACTGCCTGCCTCCTGCCACACCATGAGCTGTTTCTCCTCTCCTTTGTGATGCCCCTCTGCCACACCACCCTGCCTTGGAGCCAGCTGGCTATGAGCTGAACCTCTATAAATTGTGAGCTGAAATAAACCTTTCTTCTTTTAACTTAGGGGGTGTCAGGTATTTTTGGTCAGCAACAAGCAAAGTAACTGAGACACCCAAGATGTTTCCTCTTCCTGGTATACTTTTCTCTTAACTAGATTTTTAAAAATTTTCTTAGTCTATTGGCCTACCATGCTGGCCCTGTCCCTGGGGCACATTGAGACAGCAATTCAGACTGGGCATGGTGGCGAGAGCTTGTGATCCCAGCACTTGGTAGGTTGTAAATAAGAGGATCGCTATGAATCTGATCTACACAGTGAGACCCTGTACACCCTGTACTGCCTGTCCTAAATACACGCACACACAAAATTTCTTAGTCTAAGATGAAGTATTGTATAAAAATAGAACTCTGTTATTAAAATGAAAACTTTTTAGGCAATAGCAATCAAATCTTATCTATTTCTGTTTCTCTGGAAAAGCCTGGATTGAATAGGCTTTTAGAAATAGTCGCTGAGTGAATTTGTGGTAACAGCAGTGGAAAAAATTTGAGGCCATAAATGTGACTGATTATTAAGATACAATTTTTTCTCCTCAGTAATATCAAAATTTCCTAACACCTCTCTGACCATTTTTTCTTGTTTTTCATTCATTGTACTTTTCCTTGATCTGTTCCTTAATCATATTTATCAGGGTTCTGACCTCAGACTTTTTTCTGTCACTCTAAATTCCCAGTGGAGGGGGAGGGAGTTCAGTTAACACTGTGGCTTCAAATGTCATCTATTTGGTAATAATTCATTATATATATATATATATATATATATATATATGATAAAATTTCATGACACTACACAAAGTAAGTACATATATAAGCTGAAAGAAATAACATATGTCATTTTGTTGATATTTTATAAATTTCAACTTCCTGGGTTTAATAATAGCATATGATAATGTAAGATGTTACCATTTAGGCAAAGTTGGGTGAATAGTAGGCTGGAATTCTGCACAATTGGGGAAACTTCTTATTTTTATAAGTTTGAAAGAGTAAAGCTTGTGATATGACTGTCTATGAAAACAGAATCTTTTTTCAGTAGCCTAGTTATTAAATATTACTATTTTTCATATGTTTACCTTAATAATTATTTGATTTTCTTCATAGAATAAACATTTCTGTTCATTTTTCTGTTGATTGACATATAAGCTGCTCCTAGGATTTAGCTGTTAGCTATTTGGCTACTGTTATGGTTTGTATCTAGTTGACCCTCTAAAGCTTCATGCAGTCATTGGCGCAGCTTCTAGAGTTTGTGATTAATTCATAATCCAATGCAGGGGTTATGGGTGTGAGTCCTACACCCGTCCTGGGGTGGGTAACCTGCATACAATATAAGGAGGGGGAGGGGGGTTTGCTAGCTGCCACAGCTGCTGCCCCTCCCTTTGCTCTTTGCTGTTTTCTGTTGCCATGAACAGCTGCTCTATGCCATGTGCCTCTGCCTCGGAGCCAGCTGAGCATGGACTGAGACCTCCACAAACTGTGAGCTAAATAAACCTTTCCTTCCTTAATTCTGGGTGTTGGGTATTTTGTCCCAGCAATGAGAGAAAAATAACTAAGACAGCTACTATAAACATGGGTTTGCCCGTATCCCTGTATTATTATGTCTTTAATACATCTGTAGAGTACCTACAAGGGGAATAGCTAGGTCACGTAGAATTTCTAGTACTGATTTCTGGGGACTCTACCCTGGTCTCCCCGTGGCCATGCCAGTTTGTATTCCCACCAGCAGTGTGCGGTGGTTCCATTCTGTCCACCGCCTGACCAGGTTTCTTACAGATTTGGCGTCTTGATGGTGACTCCTAAGTGAGAAACCCAAAGTACACATAAAGAGACACACAACAGAGAAGTAATAGGAAGGAAGAAGACAGGTCTGTCTCACACAGGAAGGGGAGCAGGACAGAGGGCAGGGCTGCAAAGAGAGTTAAGGTGCCTTACACATGTGAAGCAACTTTCTACAACACACATGCATTATGAACTGCAGACACAGACTCCTAAGAGAGTGATGGTGTGAAAGAAAAAGAAGAAACATGTTTGCACATTGACAGGTGCATCTAACTAGATTTGCTTTTAATGTATTGCTCAGAATAACTCTTCAGACACTGAATTCTGGAATGTGTTGTCAGATACCTCTCTCCATTTGAAGTTCATATGGGCTTGGCAAGTTTAATATGAATGGCATCAAACATATATGTAACTAAAATATGTATACAAGAAAATAAAAAAAATTTACATGAAGAACTTCTGCCGCACTCTCGGGACCCCAGCAGACCCAGCCCAAGCCCAGGCGGGGCAAGTGTGTGGGAGAGCTTCCACCCTCCCCTGCACCTGCTGGACCTCTCTGGACCCAGCCCAGGCCCACTGTGTGAGTGAGACCTTCCACCACACTCTCGGGACCCCACACTTTTGGGACCCCTCCTGACCCAGCCCAAGCCCAGGCCCTGCAAGTATGTAGGAGAGCTTCTGCTCTCCCCTGTGCCCCCTAGACCCCTCCAGACCCAGCCCAGGCCTGGCATACAGGCATGGGGTAAAACTCTGCAGCTGAAGTCACTGCAGAGTGACTAGGGGCCAGAACCACCCAGCTAATCCATAAGCAGAACATCTTGCCAGAGGGGCACAACAGGTTCACTTCCAAGAGCTGCTGCGGGAAGGTGCTGAGCACAGCAGCCAGACCCAAGTCAGGCACAACTGGATGAATTCAGACTTCGTAGATCTGCACCTGAATTTCAGGACTCAAAGTTTAACATATCAATACTTGATGGAAAATACCTGTTCCATGTTATGTATAAGATATTTGATATTCAGATAGATAGTGAGGTTAAGCTCAACTGCCTATGTTGTAGGGTAATAATAATAATAAGCTTCTCTTCTGGAGGGTTAACAACCTAAGTTTGCAGACTAAAAATTAGAGAAAAAGAAAGGCTGCAAGGACAGCCAACATTTTGGCCCTAGCCTTTCAAGGTCAGTGAAGACTCAGGACATAGAAGAACCCGTACTATAACATCATGTAACTCAGTTGTGTCCCAAATTTTCTGATCAAGGAGTTTATGGGGCCAAAGAGGAAAGTGAT